CACGCTTTCCCTGGGTACCTGTGTCCCTGTGCAGCTCTGACCCCAGTGGGGAAATCAGCTTCTTCCAGGATGACTCAGGCTGTCCTCTGTCCTAAAGCCTGCTCCCCAGCAAACCTCAGCATCATTCCCCCTGCCTGGGGGAGAGGAGGGGCTGAACCTCCCCTCCACCCCACTCTCCTCCAACTTCTCTCCCAGCTTCTTTTCCCTCCCTCAGCTTTTTATGGCTCCATAGTAGCCAACCAGAGCCAGGGGTCCGCAATGGTGGGGCTCTGGTCACAGTTCAAATGCTCCAGTAAAAAAGCATGCATTTTGCACAGCACACCCTCCATTTGGAAAAGCCATTTCGCTCTCTGCAAACTTTTTGCCAACTTCCTTGCAAAGTTGTTAGGCACAGCTCCCCCACTCATCTTGCAGCCCAGCAAGCCTTTGCAGCTGTTAAATAAGTATTACTGTCAGGGAGGCTTGCATGCAGCCCTGTCCCCCTTGCCACTGGGTGGCAAGGGGAGCTGTGCAACTATGACTACAGCAAGGGCTGATTGGGAGGGCAAACCTCTGGTGTGCCCTTGCTCCTCCTCAGGTGTCCTGCAAGCAGCCCTGGCCATGCAAGTAGATTAACATCTGCCAGTGCCTTATGTGAAGCCCAAGGGACTAATACCACCGTGCTGGTAAGGAAAATGAATGGAGTTGCAAAAAATGAAAAACGGCAACACAGTATAAGACAGGGGTAGGCAATTATTTGGGTCCACAGGCCACATAAGCAGTTCTGGGGAGGTGTCATCAGCCAGTCAGCACCCCACTTCCCCCGCAACAGCCAGGAGCCTGCCCTGCAGCTCCTCCCCATCACTGCCAACAGCACACAGCCCCAACCATAGCTCACCCCAGGCCTGTTTTGGACCGCTCACCCATGCCAAGCAGTAACAGTGACAGTGACTGGGTAGAAGCTACTGCTCAGTTCAGGGGAAAGGTGTCCCCTTTGATTGACCACAGCCAGGCCCTCCTTGCTGCAGCTGGTTCTTCTCTGCCACCATCACCCTTGCCTCCAGGCCACCCAGCAAGGCAGTGCAAAGGATCTGCAGGGCCAGCTCCAGGCAGCTGCAGCAAGAAGAGCCCGGCAGTGGTGAAGGGCCACTTTTCTGCCCCAAGCAACAGCTTCTGCCTGGCTGCCACTGCTCAGCATGGGCGAGCGAGTCTAGAGTAGGCATGGGGCAGGCCAGGTCAGGACTGTGTGCGCCGGTTCTGGATGTTCCAGACCAGTGCTGAAGCACTGAACTTTGGCACCCAGGGCAAAGCCCACAGTGGCAGCCCACCCTCGCCTCATGCACAGATCTGGGGGCCACCTCCCCCCCTCCATGCTTGCTGGAAGTGCATGCAGGGCAGGAGCTGCCCTTCCTCCATCCCCGCACCCTCCAAATGAGCTGTTTGCAGCTCCACCCTGCACCCCAACTCAACTGGTCAGCACCTGTTGGCACCCCCTTTGCTTTGGCGCCAGGGTGGTTGCCCCACTCGCCAATCCCCTCCCTCTTGCTATGGCACTGTTCCCTGAGCTGAAATAAAAGAGGGTGCAGGGCAGGCTGGGGTTGGGGCTGTGTGTGCAGGTCCTCACTAGTACCACAGGGCTGGAGCCCTAGCCCTGCTGCATGCCTATGGGGAAGTGGGGTGCACCACAGGCCAGATGGTGCCTGGGCCAGGCGGAACTCAGGGATCTGCAATGGGCCAGACAAAGTCCCTCCATATTTTGCCCACCCCTGGTATAAGACACATCAGGCACAATGTACCTACTCCACAATGGCCTTTTTTTGTTTTGGTTTGGTTTTTTTGGAGAGTTTTATAATTGTGTATTGTGAATGGCTGTTGGTTTCTTGGTTTAGACATATCTTTAAGGGACTTCAATAATTTATTTCACCACTCTGTTTCTGTATCATCATCTTCATTTTACTAACTGGACAGTGTGTGCAAACTCACTGCTGCTTGTAAAACATTTTGAAATATTTATGTGGAAGGTTTTGTAAATAGCACCATGTATTACTACCAGAAAACATGGCTTTTGTTTTTTTGGGTACCATTACCACATTTCCTTGTTGGCCCCTTGTAAATTAGCAGCAATCACTGGTGTCAAATTATTTGTCAAAATTGTATTTGTTTTATTTTTGTATGTTCATTGATACACAGGCAGAGTAAGTTTGCAGCCTGCAGAGGGAGCAATAGAAATCATTCCTATTACTGCTTTAAAAATAAATCAGTGGATCATCTCTGGTTTTGTTAGTCTGAAATCCATCAAGACGTGGTTCTTTTTTCTCATTAGGAAGGCTCAGAAACACCCGCAAGTGCACATAATCATTCTCACCAACTTGAACCTAAAATACAAAGCAAATGGGGGAGTTAGGATCAAAGATAAAACAGCTAACAAAAGGATGACTTTACAAAGATACAGTACCGACTCTGAAGGATCATAACAATTTTGATTTATGCAAGTGCATTTTACCGATTGCTCACGGTATCCTTAAATATCCTGAACCCAATCTGCAGAAATGGTCTCATGTCACACCACATGTGTGACTAGGGACACCTGCAAGTCCTGGTGCTCAGGTTGTTGTAGAAGTAGAAATTGCTACCTTGGGTTTACAGAGCAAAATCCAAACTTTCCATAAGACGGCCAGCTTCTCTGTTATTGCTTGTACTGAATTTGGATCAGTTTTCACACTCCAAAATGTATCCTCCACACACTGTACTCAAGCTTCTGTTGTTTGCAGTTGTTGGCCTGGTGCTTCACACAAACTAACACAGGGTCAGACCCCAAAGGCAGTTTGCACTATGGCAAATTCTCGGTAGATGGGGAAAACTGAGTCGGAGATAACTGGCTGCTGGGATGGGGTAACTGACCCTCTTCTTATACATATGTTAACAGTGAAATAAAGACACAACTCTGAAAACAAGGGTCTATAGGAATATACATATACAGAGGTTGAGAACCTAAAGAAATCCAAAACCAATGTTGGGGACAATGTGAGCTTACAAAGAGATGAAGCAAGAGACAGCAGGTTCAGAGAGAGAGAGTTTTGTGCTCTGTTAGAATAGGCTCAGACAGAGGTGAGAGGAGGAAACAGGCTAACAAAGGATCAAACTAAAAGTGCTTCTTAAAGAGAAATGAGTTCCTGGATGAAAAGAGCAAAGGGTCTGTGGGCTCATTCAGAGGCAGGACCTGGCTCAGGAGGATGCAGAAAATGTGCACAAACCAGTGCTGCCCACAGAGGTTGAATCTGATATGACTGTTTGATCTTCAGAGAAGCCTGTATTCCATAGCATAAACCACACATGACTGGTGTCACCTTAGTCAGGGGGGGCATGTGCCAATCTCACTGACCGACGGGGGGTTCCTCCGCAGCCAATCATGCTGACTGGTAAGTGGTCGTGGCACTCCCAGAAGTGGCCGCAGCACTCCCAGAAGTGACTATGGCGCTTCATGCAGCACCCCCACTTCCTGGCCAGCGCTTACAGGGGGGGAACCGGTGCTCCCTCCTGCCCCATCAACTGGTCTGTCAGGGGGTGCACCAGTGCTCTCAGGGGGTGTATGTGCACCCCCGTGCACCCACTACGTGTTGCCACTGGCATGAACACAGTGACAACAAGAACAGTGAGCTCTTGCAGCTGCTCAACAAACCAGCCCTTGGTCAGCTATAGTCAGTAAGTACATGAAGGAACTGGCTACTTCAAAATAAGCCAGTCAGTACATATGCTGGAGGATATTCTCCCTTTTGAAGGATAAACTTAGATAAGTTCAAACACCAGAGCTAGAAGGAAGGGATTGTGTTTAGTTCATGTGAGAAAATGATACTGCCATATCCAGCCAGCCTCATTTAAATGAGTAATAATATTTCTTACCCATAGTTCTACTTCTGATGCTCTGTTGCTTTATTTGGAATTTACTCACTGGATGTATACATTATTACTATAACTATACATGACATGTCCCTCTCTAAGTGTGCTCACAGGTAGCAGGTTGTGTATTTTAGGAATGGGCTTCAAGGTAAAGGGCTCTGTCCTAAGGGGAAGGACTGTCCTTCAGCTCTGTCTCATTCTGGAGCTTTTGAAGCCTCCATGGAAAGACTGAGTGGTACTCCAGTAGGCTGGCTGTACTGGTAGTGGTGACAGAAGTGCCTGCACAGACCTGGTTAGACTAGCAATGGCTGGAACAGAGCTGGCATCTCAGAACCAAACTAAGCAGCTGCAAACCAGAGTAAAACCTTGGGTGGTGGCGGGGGGGCGGTGAAAACAGAGGAGGGGAGGAGAAAGCAAACAGATGGAGGAGACCCACTTCCAAGTGACTGGCCACCCCTAATGGAGCTATAGATAAACTAATATTGTTGCATCATTAGTTGTGGACTTAAAGAAGGTAGACCATTAAGGTTTAGAACAATGGTGTTGACCACCCTGGCAAAATAAGCAAAATCCATCCCCATATTGTTGATGGGTTTACATATACTTGTATTTCTTTTGTTTGTTTCCCTCCTCTTACCTCCTACCCCACCCCCCAAAATTTCTGCAAACATGGAACCAGGGAGTTATATTTTCCTTTTCTAGAGCCAAAAGTTGGCATACAACTCAGGCAGGGAATCTAGCCACATTCATCCATTTTCCAGGTACAAAAGGCAACAACCAGCAGGGTTATAATCAGAGCAGAAGGCCCCAGTTCCCATTCCATGTCTGTACACAGATAGTCGAAGGCACAGATGCATTTTGAAACAGGACATCACCATCAGCTTCAAGCACAGCTAGGACCAACTAATCCACATTTTTCAGGAATGGGTAGTCACTGCAAGTTGATGATATCTTTATGGATTTAGGGTAAATTTCTGTTTCAGGACTAAGTCCCTTCCTAGCAGAAAGATGCATTTATTCCTCAAAGTATTAGGCCTATAGTTTCACAAATGGTTGCCCAACCTTAGCCTCCTGGGGAAGAATTTTCAGAAGTTAGCTAAGGGGTTTCAAATCCCTTATTCTCCCCCCCCCCCAAGTTGCTGCTTTTGAAGTCCTTTAAATAAGTGACTCAATTTGTGTACTGATTTTGTGTATGTGTGTGTACATGTGTATTATATATGGACATATACATGCACATACTAATTTATCTTGTGTACTGATTTTGAATGTGTGTATAGACTTATGTATATAGACTCATATACTAGATGTGTGTGTGTGTGTGTGTGTGTGTGTGTGTGTGTGTGTGTGTGTGTATTACACAGACAAGTCTAGTTCCAGCAACCTATTTGCCTGTCTAATAGAAAAACTCCTCAATCTTGTAGTGGCACCCACATGCCCAAGAGGTTGTGTCCCAGGCCATTCAGGTACTGACACACCAGGAAGATGATATCCCTAGTCAGTTCCACTTTGTGGAGAAGTTCAGTTCCTGGGATGCAGCATTTCTTTATGGACTGAAACCCTGTCTCTCAAACAAGTAGCTTACTGAAGATACTGGAGCTAAGTCTACCCAGCGGACTCATTCCTAAAGGAGAACAGAAGGGGCCTAAGTCAGGAACGTGCAAGTTAACAATGGAGAAGGAGCACACTTGGCATTTGGCCCAACCATACAATCGCAACACCCCTCATTAAAAAAGTTTTCTAGTTTTTTTACTTGCAAAGGACCTTGGAAAATATGAGCTGACCTGTTATTCTGACAAGGACCTACAGCTGAGGTATACATTTGCAGCAGAAAGTTGAGGGGACATAAAAATCTGCATGCATACATTGTATTTAAAGCTGGCATTGGTATCTGAGAGGAATGCAAGAACCCTGCCCCAAATCTTCAGAATCCTCATCCCATCCGCTAGTCCCAAGCCTGGTCAGCAGATATGGGGCACAGGGCTCTGTTTCTTTTTAAGGTATAAAAAGATCTGGAATGAAGAGCAATTGTTTCACTGGTCCACTCCTGCCCATCTCCCCCCTCTCTCTTCCCAAAAAGATGCTAACACCAACTAAGAAGAATGGACCAAGTCAGGCAAGAGGATGGTCCCTTTGACAAGCCTAACATTTTATGATTCACACCTGAAAGAGTGGGACTAGTGCTTCATGAAGATTTAGATGAGAAAGTCAGAGCATCAGATTCTTAGCTTCCTGAGTCCTGCATGAACACTTCAGAATAGCTACCCAAGCACTAAGTCTAGACCCTGCATTAAAGTCATACTGAACCTTCCTCCCACAACATTTGCTCACTGCTTGACTGTTCTGCTCACTTCAAATAGTATCTGTGTTCTGCTTTAGTTTTTAGCCAGAACATATGGCAAAACCCCTGCTCTTCCATCTCACAACGTGTACTGACCTTGATGAAGTAGTTAGTCCCAGCAACCAACTGGGTTCTATATATTATGGCTTTAAAGACTGTATAGGTCTTGTCTGTTTTTGCTTCCAGCTGTGACTTCACCTGCAAGAAAAGAAAAAAGAAATAAGGTTTGGTGGCATAACATTTTTCATCGCATTAACTGCCTCCGTCCCTCTTTCTGTGGTCCTTGAAATAAGCACATTCAAATGTATCAACTGTTAGAATATGTTTTAAAATATGTTATATCTATGCTATGGTTATGCTTATGCTAAGCTGTTTTTAAATATATTTTCATTTTATAGCAAAAGAAGTGGTAAGGGGGGTGTATGTGTGCTATGGATATATGATTGATAGTTGGATGATTGCAACAGGTATTAGACAGACTGATACGAAGTATTTGAAGTAAACAGAGATAATCGTCACGATGAAGCGCAGGTGGTGGTCCAAGAATGTGGAGATGTTACAAATAAGAACTGAAAAAGAGACTGAAATGTAAAAACAATGTGTAATCAGTAACAGAGTCCAAAAGATGGGCTCAAGTGAAAAATTAAGCAGTGATTGGTGAAGGAGTCTCCAGGCATTGATCGAAGTCTGCCCCATGAAAATAAAAGGGCAGTGAAGGCTGAGCCCAAACATGCCTTAACCAGCAACACCAGCCTGCCCGCACGTCAAGAGCATTGAGGACGTGTAGAGGGTGCATATGCCCCTCCTGAGATTGGCGGTGCACCCCTTGCACCACCAACACTACCGACAGTGCCTGTGGGCAGTTGCCACTCACCACTCTCCCTCCCCCCTCCCCCACTGGTGGTGGCAGCATCTGCCACTGGTGATCACCGATCACTGCGGGCCACCACTGATGCTCCCAGCGGTGTCTGCGGGTGGTTGCCACCTCCCCCCCACCGCCGACACTGCTGCGGACACCTGTGGGACCTCCCCACTTGCCACCACCATGCTCCTACCGCCACCACCTACAGGTGGCCATCGTTCCCTGCCTCAGCCTCTGGGGGCACGTCATTCATGGTTGAGAGAATTGAAGCCGGCACCCCTCTCGACTGAACATCGCCTTGAAGAAGCCCGTGACTGGCCACTGTAGTGTGACTCCAAGTGCCGCAGATAGGTGACTTGGTGTGAATGAAATGTATGATGTGAATGAATAAAAGTGATTCTTATATAAGCTGCTACATTTGCCTCAGTTATCCATATATTGTGCAATAAACCTTGCCTTGCCAAACCCCCACATTGGTCATTTATCCAACAATATCTGTTGGAGAATTCAGGCAAACTGGGCAGCTATTGCATGGTATATAACATAATTGAGAGAGGAGAATTGAGAATTGTGGAGGAATACTGGTATAAGTATAGATTTGAGAACCCCTTTTAGTGCAAAAGGGGCGTATCCTAGAGTGGGAATAGAGGGATTACAGGGATTAGGAACTCTCGGATAAGACCAGGGGGATACCCACTTGGCAAGGAGAGTCAGGCAAGGTGCAGGAACAAGGAAAATGTTCAAGAAGAAATCTAATTCTAATTCTGAGAGGAAGGAATCGCCCTCCAAATGAGTACATAAAAAAGATATGTCCAGTCTCAGGAAAGAGATTATGAAAGGGGAAACTTCACCCTGGAAAGAGGATGTTTATTCTCCAGGATTTGTCCTCTTGGACTTAGAAAGTCAATTTTAAAAGTAATGTATGTGGGAAAAGCTGCCTATGCAGAGGCAGAGTGCCTTTCAAAGGAAAAAACTCAAAAGACTTCACAAACATCTTGTAGTGCCATTGTGAAATAAGGTAGTAGTATTTTCTCTGCTTTACAGGTCAGGAAATTTTAAAGGAAAAGAAGCCACAAGCAGGTAAAGTGGCCCACCCAGAGTGGCACAATGGGTTCATGCTTCAGGAGCAGAAAGCTGACCTTTGCTGTTGGCCTTCTCTGTCACTGCTGAAGCTTTACTAGTGTAAAGACTAATGCAGGGGAGTAAACACAGCACCATTCCCTAAGCAAGTTACTTCTAATCAGTAAGAGATGTGAATGTCAGATTTTAAAATAGGTTACAGTTTTATTGCAACTTGGCTGAGATGACTTAGTTAGGAATGATCCTGCCCTAAGCAGGTGGTTGGACTAGATGCCCTCCTGAGGTCCCTGTCTTTTCTATGATTCTATTTCCTAAGACTTCCTAGAATTCTCTTTACTTTAAAGAAACCTTTTGCTATACAGTGGAAGCCACTTAATTCATAGCCAGGTGATTCACAAGTTGCAATAGTAAGGGCACTTTACGTGCATGTCTGTTCAGCTGGAGTTCAGCAGCAGCAGTCCAGTGCCCCAATCAGTGCAGCGGTACCCTTGGAAATAAAAGCCACGGCAAACAGCTGGTGTATCTCAGGGGTCCGGCACATTTGTAGCTTTTACTGAAGAGCCTTTTATTAGTTGGAGCACAGCGGTGGTCCCATACAGCTTATCAGAAAAGTGGTGGCCTTGGGAAGAAAAGTCACAGCAAACAGCTAGAATATTTCAGCTCTGCATACCTCTGGTTACCTAGCAGGCCTTCATCATTGGAGACGCGTGAGGACCCTAACCCTGTGAAGTATCTGGTTTCTGAAGAATTTGGGTATATTAGTTTTTTTCATATCAATTGCAACTCACCTGATCAGCTATCTTCTGGACTTCTGGGGTGGCAGGCTCAGTAGGAGTTAACCCTCCATATCCAGCAGTCTCCATGGCGGCAAGTCACCTCTTTGGGCTGTCTGAAAATTCTGATGAAGAAGCACTAGAGCAAATGTGACTAGAGAATTGTCAACTCTCTCTTATATGGTCAAGCAGTCATATGACTTACACACATGGAGTTTACCATCACCAAATCGGAGAAGGGGAGACAAAGAGAAGACAGGTATAAAGAAAGTGTGTAAGATGTCATTATTAGTCATTGTAAAAAGGGAAAAATCACTTTAAATATCAGTGTGTGTAAAGTTTTCTGTGCTTCCAGGGGAGGCAGAAGACAAGCAGCCCCCAGCACTCCCTATTATGTACACTTTGTAAAGATAAGCCTCTCCCGTGGAGATCAGCGCAGGCAGGAATGAAAGCACTTGGCATTTGGCTGACCAGCTGGCACCTGTGCTGCCTGCAGGGGGTGCCACTGCCCTCTCCCCAGCCCTGCTCCTGGGAGGCAGCAGCACAAGGTGCTCATACCCCCTATCCCCTTCCCAAGTACCCCCAGGGGAATGCATACCCCCTGTTGACAACCCCTGTATTAACACATTACGTACTAAATAATAGGCCTGTGTGAGTCAGCAGAGATCTGATCCGGAGCTCCGGACTGGGTTTCCGCCTCGATCCAGCTGAAGCGGCTCTGAAGCCGCCTCGGAGATCAGGCCATAGGCTATAATGGGGAATCAATGAAATATCTATAACTTTGTTGGTTCTTGTCCGATTTGGATGAAACTTGCAGAGATGATAGCTTCTGCTGAGAGCATGAAACCTGCCAAGTTTCAAGAAGATCAGTGCAAGGGTTGGGGGAACTGTGCCCCAAATTCTTGAAAGCCAAACTCATGTCACGGCTGTGTATCACAACACAGGGGGGGTGAAAACTGCAGGGCTGGTAGCTCTTACTGAGGCCACAAAGCCTGCGAAGTTTCAAGGAGATCGGTGCAGAGGTTTGAAGGGAACTGCCCCTCAAGCTGCAGACAAGCAAAACTGGTGCCATGGGTGACACTGCGTGTGTTAAGGCACAGCAGGGTGACAGCTGCAGGGATGGTGGCCCCTGCTGAGGCCACAATGCCTGCCAGCTGTGGAGGAGATGGGTGCAGGGGGGCTCTGGGGCCCTGCACCCCTGGCTGCTGACAGACAAAACTCGTGCCAAAACTGTCTCTGTCTTGGGCCAATTGATTGTCTGTATTGAGTACTTCCTCTCCTTAGCCTGGTTTTGTAGGTGCTAATTGATGCTCGTTAAGTCGTTATGAAGTAGCTAGGTCCTGTGTATTGAGCTGGTCCCTGAGTGAACCATGATTCATTGATTGGTAACTGGGAACACAGCAGCTTAGCAGCCAGGCCTGCAGTAGTGTCTCCTCTCCAGCCCCAAGCCAGAGACAGTCAGTGCCACAAGCACCCATGGCATGAGTTTTGCTTGTCCACAGCTTGAGGGGCAGTTCCCCCCAAACCCCTGCACCGATCTTCTTCAAACTTGGCAGGCTTTGTGGCCTCAGTAAGAGCTACCACCCTGGCAGTTTTCACCCCACTATGCTGTAACGCCTAGACATGACATGAGTTTTGCTTTCAAGAATTTAGGGTGCTGTTGCTCCCAAACCCCTGCACTGATCTTCTTGAACCATGGCAGACTTCATTCTCTCTGCAGAGCCTACCACCCCTTAAAATTTCATCCAAATTGGACAAAAAACAACAAAGTTATAGCTATTGTGTTGTTTCCCCATTATACCCTATGGCCGGATCGCCGAGGTGGCTACGAACCACTGGGGAAGCCAAACGAGGCCACGCTTCAACCCAGATGTGCTGTTTCGACCCTGAAGCGTCCAAAGCTTCTCCGGATCCGAAACTCTGTCCAAAGCCTCGCACAGCCCTACTAAATGACATACACGTTACGTCACGAGTCATGGTACATTACAACAGTGAAGAAAAACAGGAACATCTTTAGACAGAAAAAGCTGATGCCGTGGACAAGCACTCTAACATGCCCAGTCACAGACCAATGACTGTGCTGGGTGATTGCAAATCTTGTGAGCCACACCCAGTGTTTACCAACACCCCCCTTAAAATTGCCAAATACTCACTTTTGGTTCCTACATTTGCAATGTAGCTGCCTCAAGCTGTGAAACCATGAACAGGTTAACCCCTGGCAAGTTAAGACCTGCCTCCTCATTTGTAAAAGCTGCCAACACATTACATGATTAGAAGTCAAGGGAACAGACCTTACTACAACAGGCTGAGAGGCATGGGACTCTTCAGCCTGGAGAAGTGAAGGCTCAGGGGTGACGTAGTGGCAGCCTATAAGTATATAAGGAGTGTGCATCAGGATCTGGGAAAACATCTGTTTACCAGGGCACCCCAAGGGATGACAAGTTCTAATGGTTACAAACTGCTGGAAGACCATTTTAGACTGGACATAAGGAAAAACTTCTTTACCATCCGACTCTCCAGGGTCTGGAATAGACTCCCCACAGAAGTGGTGCAAGCACTTACTCTGGATACCTTTGAAAACCACTTAGATGTTTATCTTGCTGGGGTGATCTGACCCCAGCTGACTTCCTGCCCCTTGGGCCGGGGACTGGACCCGATGATCTCACGAGGTCCCTTCCAGCCCTAATGTCTATGAAATCTATTAAATCTATTGCCTTCCCAGCTGGGGTTGCGTAGCAGGGGTGGGAAGCCCCAGGTGCCTTCCACTGTGGGGCAGGGAAGGCAAGCAGCTCCAGCTCGCAGGGCTTCTCACCTGTGCTGCACACCCCCAGCAGGGAAGGCATCTGGCTCCAGCACGTGGTGCTTCCCTCCTGTGCTGTGCTAGTGCAGGGGCTGTGCATGAGTGGCAGGGAGCACTGGCAATACAGACAGCCCAGGGGAGGCTGTGCCCCTCACTCGCTGTAATGTGCAGCACTTGCCGGAGCCATGCTCTGCCGGGCCTCTGTACCCTAAGCACCCACCTGCTGCTGTTACTGCCACCACCTGCCAGGGCTACATGCCATGGGGGAGTGTGGGAGGATCCCCACACCTCCCAACCTCCCTCGCACCCACACACAGCCCACCCCAGCTTTGTGCTGCCGCTGCCCTCCTGAGCACAGGCTCCGTGCTGCTGCCAGCCCCAGCCCCACACTCTGGGCTCATTCCCAACTGCAGCCCTGCCCCTGCTGCTTCCTTAGCTGTTGCCCAGAGCCAGGAGGAGACCGGGGAAGCAGAGCAGATCCCTGTGTGGAAGTTGTGCACTGGTTGGCTGGGCCCTTCGGCCCATGAGGGTGGGAGTGAGGCAATAGGGTATGTTTGGAGTATGAATGTAACACATGGGCACTTTGCTCCCACCTTCATGGGTGGAAGGGCTGGGCAGGGCACAATATGTTGGGGGGCCCCGTGGACCGGATAAAAGTGCTTGGTGGACCAGATTCAGCCCATGGACCGTATTTTGCCTTCCCCTGGATTAGGCCTTGCCTAATACAGTATAACCACATAAATCCAGCATCTTTGGGAGCTAGCACCTGAAAGAAATTTGAAAAGTCCAGAGTTTTGAAACATAAAGAAAGTGATATCAGGTACCTGTTGTACAACAGGTACATCATGGTCGATTTCCATCCACTTTTCAATGTCATCTTCTTCCAATCTTTCTGCAACAGCATTATCTGTCATTCCCTTAGCAAACTCCATAAGTTCAGAAGCCACTTTCTTTTGACCACTAGTATGAAAACTTTGAAAGTTTAGTGGCAATTCATCATCCTCCTCCTCAAATATATTTGCAGGCTACAAGTTATGCCAAGAATTTTTCAATGTTGTAGTTGTTATGTCAGTCCACTCATGTGCTATAATCCAAATGGCATCCTTAATGCTAAATTCCTTTTTAAATGCATCAACACCTGCACCTCTATTGCTGGCAACAAGGAATTTCTGCATAAATTGTTTTCTATAATTACATTTTAGTGATTGTAAAATTCTCTGGTCCATCAGCTGTATTATAGAAGTACAATTTGGGGGAAAAAAAATAGTGCATACATTGCCTGACACCAAGAGTGAAGCATCAGGGTGCACACTGCAGTTATCTAATATCAAAATTATTTTGCAGTTATCAACTAGTCCCTTAGACTTGCAATGCGCATGCGCCTCTGGTGCAAAGTTATTTTCAAACCAGCCTAATGTTATCTGCAAAGTTAACCATGCACATTTATTTGCATGGCAATCAATAGGAAACTGCTTTACACCCTTAAAAGCACAAGGGTTTCCACTTTTCATAGATTTCATAGACATTAGGGCTGGAAGGGACCTCGGAAGATCATCGAGTCCAGCCCCCTGCCCAAAGGGCAGGAAGTCAGCTGGGGTCATAGGATCCCAGCAAGATAAGCATCCAGTTTCATCTTGAAGGTGTTCAATGAAGGCGCTTGAACCACCTCCGGTGGCAGGCTGTTCCAGACCTTGGGGGCTCGGACAGTAAAGAAATTCTTCCTTATGTCCAGCCTGAAATGGTCTTGTCGTAGTTTGTGACCATTCAACCTCGTCATCCCTTGGGGTGCTCTGGTGAACAAACGTTCCCCCAGATGCTGGAGGACACCCCTAATAAATTTGTAGGTGGCCATCAGATCACCCCTGAGCCTGCGCTTTTCCAGGCTAAAGAGCTTGTGGAGCCCAAAACTGGACGCAGTACTCCAGCTGCGGCCTCACTAAGGCCGAGTACAGGGGGAGAATGACGTCCCGGGATTTGCTTGAAAAGCATCTATGGATGCAAGCCAGCGTTTTGGTCGCTTTACTAGCCGCAGCATCGCATTGCAGGCTCATGTTCATCTTGTGGTCAATGATGACCCCCAAGTCTCTTTCTTGCATAGTGCTAGC